TTTATACAACAAATCTTGCATGCTATTGGTATAAAAAACTGTCTACCGTTTACATACCCTAGATCTATGTACACTGAATATATACAGATGCCGCATACTCTAATTTATCCGATGTACTGTATGTCACTACATGACCTATACCTATAACACCGATTCCCTTCTGTCTCTGATTTCTGTCCTTATTGCAAAGACTACGGATTACATCCCTTGTGTATGTTCTTATGATACTCTGCTGTCAGCTGAAAGGATCTTATTAATAGAATAATTCGGGTTAAGTGTTCAAATTCTTATCGGAACCATTAAAAAACTTTACATACATTATTTTTAGCAGAGAACAATAAAGTTAAATGAAATCATGGTTCATACAGCATCCTTCAGAATAAGAAAAGAACTGCAATGGAACAAGAAAAAAAGAAAATATGAATTAAATTAACAGAAGAGATCCTTTACAAATATCTTCCTAAGGGTATACTATAACAACTGCATTACTTATCATCACTGAAACATTCAGAAACGTTAAAAAAGGTTAAAGGGAATTTAAAACTTAAATTTTTTTTTATGTAAGAAAGACCAAGTTCTTAGTATTTTAAAGATCTCAAAACTTCTTGAACAAAGTAATTTTTTAAGAATAGAAGAAGAATTCTTGTTAATATTTTTATTCTTGAATCTATAAGATTAATGACAATCTCGGTGATGAATCTAAGCTAAAACGTATAACGGTAATGAATAAAATTCCTTGGGTAAAACAGATGCAAGGAAACATATATACGGACTCCCTTGGTAATTTTATATAATTGCAAGGGGATTGGTGAATCTGGAAACCAAGTTTTATTAATAATTTAAGGAGAGAAAATATCAGAAGCAGACTATACTTTTTCCATTGATCTTGGAAAAGAAAAAGGGTGAAAGTGGTAAGTTAAGAAAAGAAATCTCGTGTTTTTTCTTTCTCTCTTTCTCTTTTTTCTCCCTAATTTATAAAAAATCTGTAACTTTTCATCTGTTTCTGGAATTCTATCAATGTTTCACTAATTTTAATAATCCTCTTGAAACTATTATACGTTTCGGAATACTCTAATTTTATTCTGGATTAAATTTAAGCCGCGGCTTAAATATCGTTGGTTCCACTTAAAATTGTATCAAATGTTTCAAGATTTAAGCCGGCGCTTAATTTAAACCGGGGTTTGGCAGATTTAAACCGCGGCTCAAATTCTTTAAATTCCATCTCTAGATTCTTGAATTTTCTGGAATTTATAATTTTCAATTCTTTGTTTTAGAATTTTCTATATGCTTATGGACTTCTTTTTATCTTAATTTTATGTGTTCTATCAACTTGACTGAATTTTTTTTTCCACTTTTTTTAACGATACGGGTTTGAGCAACCAATTCATCAAATATAATAAACTTTTTTGTGCATTCAGCTCGGAACCTGAACTTGCCACCAGACGAGTAACCTGCTCCAGATAAGCCTGTTATTGAGACCACCCTCACACGTATAAAGATCGTGGAACCTGTACCCTAGGTACCGTGTAATCAACAGCATTGAAGAAAAGTGAGTCTTCTACCTGAGTACCAAAGTATTAAAACTTAGACTTGCAATATTCTTAGAAAGTAAAACCTAACTGAATTTGCCAAACCTTCCTAAAGACCCATGTCAAGTAAAAGACCAAATCAGATCTTAAGTTTCATGTAGTAATAATACTGTGAACCCCATCTAATTGTAGGTATTCAACAATACGACTCCACACAATGGTCGTGCTTTTTAATTTATTGAAAATTACGGTCGGATAATTCCACGCAAAAAAATACCCCAACTTTTCAACTATACTCGGATTCAAATTTTATTTACGAGTATCCATGTACTATGTACTATGTACTATGTACTATGTACTATGTACTATGTACTATGTACTATGTACTATGTACTATGTACTATGTACTATGTATTATGTACTATGTACTATGTACTATGTACTATGTACTATGTACTATGTACTATGTACTATGTACTATGTACTATGTACAATTTAATATTTTTGTAGCATCATCAAGATTACACACACGAGTAAATAACTTTATGGAGTTATTTCTTTCAATTCAAAAAGAAAATTCTTTTTATATCACATCTTAGAAATGTTCCCATATATAGCTGTATTTTCTAAATTTAATTAGAATTATTTTCTCTAAATACCAATCCGGAAACATAGTATAAACATGTAACGCCGTAACATATGTAAAAAATGTAATATCTTTAATCACATGTAATTACACATAAAAGTTACGTCAGCATTAAACTATCGGATTTTAAATAAATATCTAGAATTTAAAAAATATTATTTATGAACCGGTTTGTGATCCTACACATTTTATGGATTTGCTGGCAGCTGGGCTATTTAGAATATGGTTCTTTGACCGGCTTGCGAGTGGACATTTTTCATCAGGATGTATAATGGAATGTTTTATAATCTTCCTTAGTCCATGTAGATACAATCAATTTAACCAATTGTTTACAGATTTGTTTATTAGCTTTTTGTCAGAGGCCCAAAAAGGGAAAAATACAACCACCCATTTGTCAACATATGTACAGCAAATAATGTGTTTTTATTTTTCTCTGTACGTAAAATATCAATATGTACTTAATTTTAAGTTTTTCTCTGCGTATCTAGATAAATTCTTCTCAAACATTTGTATTAGACTCTATTAACGGATATCTATGCACTAAAAGAACTGAACAGTCGCACCACACTCAAATTTTTCCATCTCTATATCTTTGCAACCTGATGTTGTATATCTTTGATATTTCAAGATTTGAGATTTGCTACATCAATAAGCCAAATGCCAATGGTTTACCAAATCAAGATGCAAATATAAAGGTCATATTTGTCTTCCCGTTAGAGTTTTCTCTTGATCAAACTGTCTAAAGTAATTTTCTAAAGATCGAACCGAATGGTCTTTGCGTCATAAAACTAAATATTTTATCGATTAAGCTTAATTAAGGTTTATAAAAGTCTCCAGTTTCAGGAAACCTTAAAGGATAATGATACAAAAGTGCGTCTATTATTAACCATATTTCTANTAATTCATGGCCGGCATTTCACACATTTTTGGGAAGCCCTTTGGCTATACTTTAATAATCTGTAAAAAAAAATTCAAAACTGTCCACATTTTTTAGATAAAACTGTTCAATTGTCTGCCTCTTGTTATTACTTCCCAAAGAGTTATAAAATGTTGAAATCCATTGAGTGGAAGTGGGTCTGAATAAATATCTTGTTTGGTTTAGAACAAGGCATTCAGTAAGTATGCCTGAGGACTTCGGGCGGTAGTAGATATTAAAGCCCAATTTTTAGAACAGTCGAAAGGTTTATTATTATACCTTATTATTATTACTTTATACTTTATTATTAAAAATTCAATACTTTACTATAAATTCCCCCCCGGGTTGGTAGGAGTTATGTAGATTCACTTGATTTTATGTATTCTGACCTAAAATCCAATATGCATATTCATCATTAATATGTTTTTATCAATGAGATTGTAGTAGACGTAATTTAAAGTGTTTCTCCAATAGAGAGCTTTATTTAGACGTCATAACAATGGATATATCCCTTTTTTATAGCTAACAATAGAGTGCTGGAACAATATAGATGTTATATAATTGTGCAACCAGGTGTGAAGTAGGTCACAAAGTGCCCGTAGGGTCATTTTGAAAAACGTCATTTTTATATTTATTTACAGTTTGAATCCTGTCACACAGTTGGCCATGACTCTTTGTTAATGTTTGTATCAAATTCTTATCTTAAAAATTAAAGTATAGAAGTGTTAGTGCAGTCTGCATCGTGCTTTTTAAAACTTGTATTTCTCACTTCTTCTTCTTCTTCTTCTTCTTATCAAACAAAAGAAGATAATATTTAGCTAAATAGTTAATATAATTAATAATGATTTTATAAGTAACATTTGTGCAAATTATGTCAGAACTGTTAATAACTATTCGGTTGTAAATAGTGGTAAATATTAAACGATGAACACAAAACGTAAAGTTGAACTGCGCTTCTTTGCCTAATTTCGAATTCTTAATTGATATGAATAAAACCAATTTAAATATTCTCGGGGTTTTATCTTTTTCCAAAAATTCCTAAAACTTTTTAATTGTGTAATTTTCAATAAAATTTCTTTTGACGATCTGCGTAGTTGATTTAGAAAAGTAGATTTGATTGAAAAACCTTGTCATTTTATAGAAATAAATGTCTGAGTTTGAATTTCATCGAACTCCGGAGCACCCAGGAATATTATTATAAATATAGATATTTTTACATTTTGATGTATTGTATAAATTTAATAATATCTAGTTTTTGTTTACTTTCAACTTTTCGTTTGTTGCTAAATGGATTATCAAATTCTAATGTAATAAGCTTGTAGCACAATGTTCTCTATATTGAGGTTCAAAAAATTGGCCGTGGTCGTTTTTCATTAAGAAAAAATGCTAATTTTGGCAATTTTCTTGCTTGAACAAAAAGAATCATTTACAGCTACTTATAGCTAACAACTTAAAGGGGCTGTGACGTAATTTCAAGTGACCTTTAATTTAAACCCATTTCATTAGCCCATTTTTTAGATTAGAAATGCGAAGATATTTTCATTTTCTCCACTGCAGTAATTAACCACTTTATTCACTTTTTATTAAAACCAAATTTTAAAATTATCAATTTAAAGATGGAAAAACAGGAGAGGAGTATTCGGGGGGGGGGGGGGGGTTATGGGGGACCAGTGAAATCTATTGATTTCTGGGAGTTTTTAGGCCCCAACGGGTGCTGCCCCCCCCCCTGGAAAGAAAAAAATGTGAGACCCCCCTGGACAAATTCCTGAATACCTTTTTATGCCTAAATATTCCCCTATGAGGCTTGATTGAAGAAGAGTCAATAAAAAGAGTAAAAAGAGTAATGTTTAAAAAAAGAACAAAGTTCATAATCCTAGATGTAAGTTTTACTTTTATAAAATATTGCTCAAGACAAAGCATTGTGAACTCAGTTTATTTCCAACTTTGATACCTATAATTTTCACCATTAAAACAAAAATCAAGGTTTAAAAATTTCCTGTCATCTCTACACTCTCTATATTTTTCTTAGCAGTCAATAAAGACAATGTACAATACTATTTTGTGAACAGTACGAACTTATGAATTTGACAGTGTACAGTACAAACAGAAAGGTTTAATTCTAATTTATTCAAAAAAGCGACATTTTCTGAATCTACATCTAAATCTGATCTTTAATATATTATGTTATTTTAAATAGTCAAAATAAAGTGGATAAAAGTAATCTTTATTGCCAACTCAATCACAAAATGAGTTTATGTTAACATTACTTGCCGTATTATTGCGTGAGCGATTAAAATTCGATTCTCTGAATTCAAGATTCTTAATACAGAAGAAACCATCAATTTTAAGCGGAAAAAAAGAAATAACGAAATTCATCATTTTTTAAAAATTAGTTAACGGTTTTAACCGTTATCCTTTTTTTCAAAAACAACTAATCCGTTTCGTTAACGATTTAAAAATTAACGGTTTTTGCCGTTCGTTAACGGAATCTTCCGTTAATTTCCGAAAACCTCCGTTCGGTTAACGGAACTTTGCCCAACGCTACTTGAAAATACGTCTATAGAGTTAACATTTTACAAAACAGAAGAAAATAGTATGCTACAATTTACATTTTCGGACCTATTCCCGGTTGTCTACTTTATCCCCTGTATTTTTCCATAGATAAATAAATAAACGTAGATAGCTTATGTATGCTAAATCACCAAGAATTGTACAGTCCGTGAACTCATACTTCTAGGGGTCAAAGTGTACTTAAATGATACGCGGGGTGGTTTGGTGTTTTAATTGATTTCAAAATTATTAAACCACTCAGAAGTGAATTTTATTTCACTGAGCAATATATCATATTGACGAGAACTGAAGAAGGACATGAGAAGGACTAAACTAACTTAATTTCTCTCTACAGAACTCATGTACAACACAAGTACTCAATGACACAAGAACAGCCAATGTTCACAACCGACCTAGTTAATCAATATAATAGTAATATCTTTAAAACATCTCTGTACATTTCTTTCAAGATGAAAAATGTCGTCTTATGTGCAATCTATCTTTATCCCCTGTATTTTTCTAGTTGGCGACAGTGCTGTTGGGAAAACTTGTTTATTGAGAAGTTATGTTGAAGAAAACTTTAATGGAAACTATGTTAGCACAATAGGGATTGATTTCAGGTAGGAACATGACAAGGGGGGGGGGCCGGGGCTTTGAGGGCTTAGACCCTCTGAGGAAGCAAAAACTGTGATTTTTAGGGGGTTTAGTCCTACAAGGCAAATTAATATATAAAAAAGAACTGAGTTCTTGCCACATTTTTTTAATATCTAAACTCTACATTTTTACAGCCCGATGTTTTAGACCTTAAATATAACAAACAATTAATTCTGTTAGATCAAATACTCTAATTTTGAAATATCAAAGTTTTACATTATCAGGTTAAAAAGATATATTGGTTAAAATCATGTTTTGTGTCAATAACTCAGTTTCTTCACGAAATGTTTTGTGTCAATAATTCAGTTTCTTCACGAAATGTTTTGTGTCAATAACTCAGTTTCTTCACGAAATGTTTTGTGTCAATAACTCAGTTTCTTCACGAAATGTTTTGTGTCAATAACTCAGTTTCTTCACGAAATGTTTTGTGTTAATAACTCAGTTTCATCACGAAATGTTTTGTGTCAATAACTCAGTTTCATCACGAAATGTTTTGTGTCAATAATTCAGTTGCATTAAGAAATGTTTTGTGTCAATAATTCATTACGAAATGCTTTGTGTCAATAATTCAGTTTCATTACGAAATGTTTTGTGTCAATAACTCAGTTTCTTCACGAAATGTTTTGTATCAATAATTCAGTTTCATTACGAAATGTTTTGTGTCAGTAACAACACACAATTTGTTATTAAATACAATTTTCCTTTTTACTAAACTATTAAAAAACATCTCGATTGAGTAAAATGTAAAGTTTTTAACGCAAGACGTAAATAAAAGATAAAGATCCCTACCCAAACCGTCTGACAATCTGACTTTAAATAAAATATCATTCGGGATTTGCTTACCACAATATTAGAATAAAATTTTAAAATAAAATTTAAAAAAATTTAATTCTGAAAATTAATTTAATTCTTTAACTTAATCCGGAATTATCTATTAAACATATTTACTTCGTAGATTTTACAGTATATTTTTATTAATTTTAAAAGCACTACCTTAACCTTTTCACGACTGGGCCCCCTAAGATTTTGCCACGCGTACGTTTCAAAGATAAAGATGTGTCATAGTCCAACTTTGCAAGGCCAGCTTAAACAAAAAATATACCTCCAAATTTTGGTTGGGGTGCTAGAGACGTTTAAAAAAAAGAATAAAAAATGTAAACAGAATTTTTTTTTCTCCCAATTTCAACATTTAACACAGGTTTCTACATCCATTTCTCAATTTTTGTTTCAAACAGTAAATTTCATACATGTAGCTTAAAAAAATATTAAAATGGTAAACTATTTAAGGTTTTTTTAAATCACTGATCAGTCGTTAGACCGTTCTGTACCCATACCCTGTGCATCAAAAATAATTTTTTTGTTAAACATGTTTAAGATTATGAAGTTTACAAAGTGAAGAAGTTTGAGCAATCTAGTGTAAGCATTTGTGAAAGAAATTGTGATAGGATTAAAGATTCCAAACCAGACTTTGTGTTTATTACCCCCAGTTTAATATCTATCTTGAGAAAATATCTAAACTCTTGAAAATGAGTAGAATATGATATTTTAATAATTCTCATTTTGTATAAGTGGAATGTCCGCTTCACAAGGATATCCTATATAAACCTGATCAAGGATGTCTTATCAGCTATATTGTTAAAGCTGATATTTGAATGCCCGGAAACTCGAGTTTACGGTGGTTAAATCTCCAAACTTATCAGCTATATTTCTAAAGCTGATATTTGAGTGCCCGGAAACTTAAGGTTACGGCGGTTAAATCTCCAAACTTATCAGCTATATTTCTAAAGCTGATATTTGAGTGCCCGGAAACTTAAGGTTACGGCGGTTAAATCTCCAAACTGAGTTGTCTAAGCTAAATTTTCCATAATTCCATTTATTATTATAAGTAACATTTGCAGTCAGGTAAACTTACAGTTATTTGCTCAAATCCGTCCCCTGCAGTCTGTCCTTGCCACACCGCTAAACCTTCAAGAATTTTTATTTTATTGATAAATATGCGAGTCTTTCTGGGTCTCAAACTCAGATTATATACAGGGTTACCCATAAAGTTTCTACTGAATCGAATTCAAATTACATCACTAATCAGTACTTTTGTCTGGTTAATCTATGTATCAAGCATTGATACACATCTTGCAGACTTAGGGATTAATTAAATTCCTCTTCGATATCCTGTGATGGTCAAACCCTAAAGGGAAAACTAAACTACAATTAAGGAATCAAGCATTTATCCTCAAATTTAAACGTGTCCCCATTAGATATCGAGATCAAACGCTCAAGATTATCAATACTCGAGATAAAAGTTTCGAACTCAAGTCCCATTTCTCTGCAAATAATATTTTGATTTTTTACCAGGAGGAAAATGTTGCAGCTGGGTGAACATAAATATGTGAAATTACAGATTTGGGACACTGCAGGTAAAATACAGATACCAGGCATCTACTGCAGGTAAAATACAGATACTAGGCATCTACTGCAGGTAAAATACAGATACCAGACATCTACTGCAGGTAAAATACAGATACCAGGCATCTGCTGCAGGTAAAATACAGATACCAGGCATCTACTGCAGGTAAAATACAGATACCAGGCATCTACTGCAGGTAAAATACAGATACCAGGCATCTGCTGCAGGTAAAATACAGATACCAGGCATCTACTGCAGGTAAAATACAGATACCAGGCATCTACTGCAGGTAAAATACAGATACCAGGAATCTACTGCAGATAAAATACAGATACCAGGCATCTACTGCAGGTAAAATACATATAATCTACTGCAGGTAAAATACAGATACCAGGAATCTACTGCAGGTAAAATACAGATACCAGGAATCTATTTAAGAACTAAGAAAGTCACAAGAAAAATGTTCTGCAATACAAAACTTGAGAAAGTCTTATCTAGTTCAAACAAAGAGTTCTGCTGAAAATAATGTACCGGTTTTTTTTATTTCTGAGCTGGGAACTCTTGTATTGTGGATATTGAGATCGATATAGGGTGAGTCAAAAAAAGTGTGAGTTGCGGCGCCTTGCCAAAAACAATCCGCGAACTTTTTTTTTCTCATAAAATCAAAAGTTTAGAGAAGCAAAAATGTGTATATGAATTATTTCTATCGAAATCTAAAATTTTATACAGATTGAATCACAGAATCACAGAAAATTGGCAAAATTGTAACAAAGAAAATTCGCAATTTTCAGTCCTGTTCTAATTTAAAGGAAAAGTGGTTTTTCAAGCGTATATTTTTAAACTTTTGAATATACTAAGAGGAAAGGAACTAGAGAATTCAAATAACTTTTCCTTAAAAATTAGACCAAAACTGAAAATTGCGAATTTTCTTTGTTACAATTTTGCCAATTTTCTGTGATTCTGTGATTCAATCTTTATAAAATTTTAGATTTCGATAAAAATAGTTAATATACACATTTTTGCTTTTCTAAACTTTTGCTTTTGAGAGAACCAAAAAAATAAAAAAATTTTAAAAAATATTGAAAAAACACCATACAGAAGAGTTGCATAGACAAAGGTACACTTTTGTACCAGGCGCCGTAAATCACACTTTTTTTGACTCACCTGTATATAATATGTAATTTTCTCCATTCTTTTTATTGACCTTTTTTGTGAGATCTATTTTGAAATTTTTAAAAATTTAAAGGGTACTGTTGTAAATAGGGCATTACTTTTGCCATCTTTGCATGAAGGGTCCTTTAAGATTTCGCTTACAGTTCCTTCAAGAATTAATTTTTGATATTGCTTACAGTCTCTTTAAGAAATTCTTTTAACGTTTTGTAATTGAAAACTTAAAAGTCGAATTTGTGAATAACCCTGTACTTTAACTGTTACGAGGCATTTTTTTAATACATTTAAAAACACGCTTCATTCAGTTTTGAATTTAAAACAAATCTAAAACTATATTACACCAAACATGAAAGAAACTCTGGAGTCTTGACGTCACAGATTATTATATTTCATCTTGTAAGTGTGTGGGGGTGTACACGTTGGCAAGAAAATTACTTCTTTTCTTCTTTCTCTTCAATACAAGGAAAGTGGAATTTTCATTGATATTAAAGGGACATGGTAACGGAAATTCAAGTGACCCTTCGATTCAAAACAGTATGCATGATCTGCTTCTCTTTTGAAACTTGATTTTTTATTGTTGTTTCTCTCAAAAATAGCAGCCGGGTGTCAAGGAAATATACCTTAAGAATCAGCGAGTTTCATAATTATGTGATATTTAAATGTTAATTAAGAAAATTTATATCTCATGTAATAATTTAATATCTCATCTTATACTTCAATATATAATCATATATTTAAATGTTATAATCTTACACTTTAATATCTCATCTTATTCTTTAATATCTCATCTTAAGCTTTAATATCTAATCTTATACTTTAATATTTAATCTTATACTTTAATATCTCATCTTATACTTTAATATATCACCATATACTTTAATATCTAATCTTATACTTTAATATCTAATCATATATTTTAATGTTATAATCTTACACTTTAATATCTCATCTTAAGCTTTAATATCTTATCTTATACTTTAATATCTAATCTTATACTTTAATATCTGATCTTGTACTTTAATATTTAAAAGTTACATTTTAATATTTCATCCTATACTTTAATTGCACATATAATACTTTAATATATCACCTTATACGTTAGTACCTTATCAAATACTTTATTATTTTATCTTATACTTTAATATATCTCATCTATTACTATCTGATCTTATACTTTAATATTGTATCCCATACTTTAATACATCATCTATAAACTTTACAATCGAATCTTATACTTTACTATCTCATCTTATATTTTATTATCTTATCTTAAACTTTAATATATTTTCCTATACTTTAATGTTAAATCTTATACTATAATATCTCATCTTATATACTTAAATATTCCATTTTATACTTGAATGTAAAATCTTATACTTTAATATCTCATCTTATACTTTAATACTTCATCATATACTTTAATATATATCTCATCTTATACTTTAATATCTAATCTTTTACTTTAATGTCTCAAACTTATACTTTATTATTTCATCTAATACTTTAATATCTCATCTTATACTTTAATATCTCATCTTATATGTCTCAAACTTATACTTTATTATTTCATCTAATACTTTAATATCTCATCTTATACTTTAATATCTCATCTTATATACTTAATATTTCATTCTTATACTTTAATATCTCATCTTATACTTTAATATCTCATCTTATACTTTAATATCTCATCTTATACTTTAATGTCTCAATCTCTCTATTATTTCATCTAATACTTCAATATCTCATCTTATACTTTAATATATCATTGCATAATGTAATTTCTCATCTTATATAGCAATAAATTATTCATTGCTATAATATCTTAACGTATTTGTATCTCATATTTTTTTGAAAATAATAAACTTTATTTTAGGTCAAGAACGGTTCCGTGGTCTTGTCAAGTCATATTTTAGGAAAAGTTTGTTCTTATATTTGTGCAGAAACTTGTTAAAGAGAGAGTGCACAGATTTTAAGAGGAATTATGAATTAAAAAAGACAAAGATATATATTTCATTGCTATGACTAAATGCTTATTGACAGAAAACCTTTTTTGATTTATAAAATAAATTTAAAAAGTTAGGATTAACCAAGGTTGCAATGCAAGGAAATTTATTTCAGAGGTGTACGCAACTTTTGTACTGCAGTTTACTGTCACTGACTCTGGGCGGTAATGTAAACACAAGACGGATGTCAAAGCCTGACATGGGTTCCGTCTGTCACAAAAAAAAATCAAGGAAATTTTCTGGTCTTAGGAAACTATTATGTGAATTTTAAAAATTATTAAAATGTAATGCTTTTAACCTCCTCGGATGCTAAACGAACACAGTAGCATCTATTCTTGTTTACAAATTCCGCCCAGAGAGCACTGGTTTCAATATGTACGCAGAGTATACGCAACTGCAATTAACTTTCCTTGCATTACTACCTTGGTATTAACCATTGACTCATTAAGAACCGTTTTTAAGAGTGTTTAAGGACAAATGAAGATTACGCAACTGTCCCTTACTTAACCCTATTCCTGCTGGGGGGGGGGTCAATTTAACCCCCCCCCTGTAACCCAGCATATCCTAATCCTGGAAACCTTTATCTAGTTAATAATGTGGAAGATATTTATATGTTTTTCTGCCGTAGAAGATACCACAATTAAAAGTAATCATTTCACAAAATTATAAAAAATCAAATTCATACTTGATCAGACAACGCTTTTAAGGGTAACGTTGGGTATGGTCGTCTTTACATGTATTTATGATCACTTGAAATTACGCTTACTGTCCCTTCAAGGTGGAAAAAACCTTGTAAACGATAATTAATTAATTTTGATGACAGCTGACAAAGGTATAAAACGTTAGGTATTTTACTGTCCTGACAGGAAGACATTGTTAGTGTTTAACAGATTTTTTTGATTTAAAAGGTACTGAGTTTGCGGCACTAACTTTGATTTTCTTATACCTATCTCTTTAAAACCAAATGTTATAGATATTTCAAATGATGCATTCTGTTAGATCAAATAACTAAGTTTAAAATATCACAGGTTCACTTACACCATCAGGCTGCAAAGAAAATCTGAATTTTTGACAAAGACTCATTTCTTTTGCATTGGAATTTTGTAATAAATAAAAGATAACATTTAAATGCAAAGAGAATTAAAAATCAAATTCAATATTTTGAGATTAAATCTCTATAATATTATTATTATTTGCTATATACAGATAAACAACTCGTTATTGAAGAGGATGTGACGCTGTAGTATTTGTTTATGACATAACGGACAGGAACTCATTCAACAACATAGGCAGGGGACAAAATGATAATTATATCTCTTTTCTTTACAATTTCTCCATTTTCTTCTTGTTCGTACATCTTTCATCATATTTCAGCTAATTTTGATTGTTTGGGACATCCTAGAAGTTGCTGGGCTGATAAAATAAAAATTATCTGATACATATTAGATGCAAGTAATGTATGGAATTGGTTAGTTTGTAACTTAATGTATTCTTGGGTCATCATTTACTTTAAAGGGTTGAAAAAAGTAGCAAACAAAATATTGAATATTTTTTTAACATGTCCGCTAGCTTATTTCTAATTTAATAAAAACCTATGTTAATTAACGATGAGAAGGACCATTTTAATGCATTAAAACATTTTAAAAAAATCTAAATAAAAATCCAAAATCAAATCAGTCAAATCATCAACTTATTAAAACTTGACTTGGGGTTTTACTTAAAATTACGTCGTCAGTCTCTTCAAACCAAACTTTTTTTCCGAAAATATTTTTTTTCATTTTCAAAAAGAATCATAAAAACATTGTATCTAAGAACGTGCCTAATACAAAAAAAACAAAAACAACAGTGATTAAATATTGTTTAACCCTATTTAGCCTGACGTCTGGTTTACTGACTGGTTGCCTGGGGAGGGTGAAATTTACCCCCCCCCCTCCCCTCTATTTTCTTATTGTGATACAAAAATAAATTTCTTTGCACAGGTTGTGCAATCTGCTTGCTTCTGTTATAGGCTTTACAAAGAGCTATAAAACGTTCAAATCCAATGACTGGAAGTAGGTCTAAATATAGACTTAGTATGGTATTTAGGCATTTACGCAGCATGCCTGAGGACTCAGGAAGTAAATATAAACGCGCAGCTTTTAGTCTTAAGAGATGGGAATGGGTTATTTAGAATAGCCAGAAAATTTGAGCTTCCTAGCTCAAATACTTTTTGAGTTATCGTAAAAAATTATAGGGGTGGGGGTCACTTTGTATATTTGTGATATTTTTAACAAAATTAAATTAATTTTCGAGCAGAAGTAATAAATTCAAGAACAGTCACTTTTCTATGAAATTATTTTGTCCCGATGAAGTTGACTGGATCGAGACTGTGCGTGAAGTGTGTCAGGAAATCCCTCAAATAGTTTAATTTATCAGAAGACGACATTATTCAAAGATAAATCAAAAGTGAGATCCTGCATTCGTCGTCGTTTATATCAATACACTGAAGACAACTTTCGATTTTGATTTTTAATTTCCACCAAGCTTTCAAATAGCACAGATATATATAAACATGGAAACTAAGTGAAGCTGTCAATTAACAGAGTTTCTTTTTGTTTAATTGTAAAAAGCTTGTTAAAAATCAAAACTTAACTTTATTCAGGCTGACATCGTGGTCGTCCCAGCAACCCCCTCTATTTCTGTATTATGATGTAAACTTATAAAATTTGATTCACTTTTGGAGAGCCTTTGAGTTTTTTTAAATAAACTGCAAACAAATTAACAAATTTGCAAAATTTCAAATACTCATTGAATTTTAAAGTTATTAGGCAAAAACAAAAAGTGCGCACGCAAAATATGATAAATTATACAATTTTGAAAAGCCAAATTTTCGAAACTAAATTTGTATTCAAAGGAAAATCTAAAAATCTCTTTAAAGGCATCTTTTTTTTCAAAAATCTATGTAAAATTTCTTCGCAAAAATTGTGCATTATGTTTCCTTTTGATCAAGGCTTTCCAAAGAGCTATACAAAGTCGAAATCCAATAACCGGAAGTTGGTCTAAATATAGATTTAGTTAGGTTGAGGTAAAATAATGCGTTCAGGCAGTATGCCTGAGAATCTAGGAAGTTGGTATAAAAGCCCCGCTTTGAGACTAAAGTGAGGAGCAATTGTTAGTTAGAAAAGTCAAACAATATGCAGATTCAGACCAATACTTTTTGAGTTATCTTCAAAAAATATCAGGTGGGTCCCAGAGACCCCCCCCCCCAGCCGGAAATTGGGTTAAATAAATAGCTTTCTTCATTTTATCGATATAAACGCCTACTCCTGGTTGCTGCGATCTTGAATTACTCTTATTTTACTAGATTTTTAAATATAGAAGACTAGTAAACACTAGAAAAGCCTGATTTAAAAAGCCTTAGTTCAACTTTTACTATAAAATTTAAAAACTTTCACTTTTATTAAAGTGATGTAGACATATTTAACTTTTTGGGGACATTTAGGTGCCAGGATTATCATTAACAGGTGTTTATTTATTTATATATTTTCTATAATTTATTTATAATCTTCACTGAAAGAGTATTAATGGAAAAACTTCAAAGAACATTTCTTTCCTTTGAGGTTTTTGCATTCTTAAACTTTTTAGATTTTTAAAAAGTTTAAACATTTTGGTTTTCATCTGTAAGGGAATGTTTAGAAACATGAATTATTTTATTTGTTCTTTTTTCACTTTTCTTTATTTTATTTTATATATTTTTTGTGTCTGTCTATTTTTTTTCTTTACCTGATAAACGTCAAAACGGATGAGCCGATCAAATCCAATTTTTTTGTGACTGAAAAAATCCCGCCCTTTACGATTTACGATTTAATAAGAAAAAATATCATTCTTTTATCTCTTTCTCTTAAATAGTTACATTCGTTGTCAATATTTTATAAACAAATTTTATTTTTTAATTTATAAATTTTTAATGTAAACGAGTCATTTTTTTAAACACTGTATGTTATGTTAATAGAGTTTTTAAATACATTTATGATCCATTAAAATTGGAGATCAAAAAGAAAAAAAATTATTCTTTTTTCTATTGATTCTTTGAATAATATTATCATCTTTTATTATTTCTATTTTATTCTATTATATATTTATCAAATTATTTTTGAAAAGATTTTTAAAATGATATATCTATACAATGTTAAAAAATGTTTTACAATGTTATAAAATGTTATACAATGTTATAAAATGTTATACAATGTTTTTGCTGCACAAACTCAAATCTCAAACTAATCTTCACATCTCTGTAAATCTGAAATTTCAAACTTTATAGTTTAAAGATCTATGATAAAACAGATTATAAATCTGAGTTGTTGGGGAAATTAAGGTCCTCTGATGAAGAAACTGATTACTTGCCGAAAGCTAAAATGTTGTCTAATTCATTAAATTGTTGCAACCTGAGCTGGGAACTTTAGAATGGGAAATCCTTAATCCCGATCGGTTAATTAATCTGGAGATTAAAACAAGAGGAGAACAAGCATTATTTAATCTGGAGATTAAGAAAAAGATAATCCTGATACCACCATTCAAAAGTTCCAAACTCTGATTGTATAAATCTTTGATACCTTAAAGATCAAATAGAATTCAGAGTTTGAAATATCAAAGATCTGCGAGATCAGAGTCTAAAACTAAATAACGAAAAGTTTTGACTTAAATTTTAAGTTCATGGTTAAATGCCACTTCTGACTTAATTTAAACCTGAACTTTAACCGTGAGGTTAAACATTTAACCCTGTGGTTAAATATTAAACTCGCCGAAATCGACGAGTTAAAATTTAAACACAGGTTTCAAATCTTGAAATCCTGCATTTTCCCTATTTGTCCATTATTCAATCATCATTCAGCTGCAGCTGAGAAAGCGGCATTCAACTTTACGATATATTTAAAAGTGAAAACCTTGTTAAAGAAATTTCATGTTTTAGATAAATTAATTTTTGGATGTAAACCCAAAAAACGGTTGTATGTTTTGTTTTCGGTTACGTAAGAACAGCTGATTAGCGATGGTTATGTAATATTCTCCGTAAATTCTTTTCTCTGATTGGTTCAGATTTTCCCGGGAAATTCAAATTTAAATTTGAGAAAGTTCAATATTTAAGTAGCTATTCATTATTTCACAGAACTTTTAACCTCGAACTTAAAATTCGCGCATTCTTTAGTTTTAGACTCAGGTTGCTAAGATGTTAAAGTCTGTTAGAAAATAATTACGAAATTTAACATTCCACATCTGTTCATTTGTACTTCATAAGTTAATATCATGCCTAATCTAATACTTTTCTACAATTTTGTTGTTCTTGTAAAGATCTTCAAGAATTTTAAAAAAAATTGATATTCGTTAATTTTTATTATATTTTTAAACCTCTCAGTGATATAGCAAATATGATAAAATATGATTTAATTCCTAGATACTGTTCAATGTATGCTGGTGGGAAATAAATGTGATCTAACTAATGGACGACAAATATCAAGGTATATTTCATATAAACAAAAATATGTACAATTAAAACTATTTTATATCATTACCCAATGCTGCAATAAAGATTGTAGCCGGGAATTTATAGAGTCAAACTTTAAAAGTATGGTTGAGGTATTAAAGTTAAATTGTTACTTTATATTTGGTCTGTCTTAAAAGGTTCATCTATATTTATATATACTTTGCTTGTCTGAGTGGATATCTGTCTGTGTCCAATAAACGTCAATACGGCTGAACCGATCGGGACCAAATTTTGTGCGGGACCTTGATCGCATGACAACAGATTTGAAAACTTTCGAATTGTGAATATCGAGATCAATGCTTAATCCTCTCTCTGTTTGCTAATCTCAAAACTAATTTAGTCTCTAGATTAAATTCTAGAGATTAGAGATGCGCTCTTTAACTTTTGATTGAGCCGGTTTAAGCATTTGTGGTGTCATATCAATTGGACTAATGATCGGTTGAACGCACGTAAGTTTGGGATTAATGTTTATAAGACTAACGCTCAATAGGCCTTGGGGTAAAATATGTTTTTTTAATAAGTTCATATTAACATGATTAAATTTATATTTGTATAATTGCTCTAAAAGCCGGCTTGTGAACAGCTGATTTTAGTCCAATCGTATATCAGTTCTAGTTCTATCTTTATCGCATCTAGAAGAAAATGTGATATGTAACAAGAACGGATTAAAAAGAAAATTAAAAGTTTCCACAGTGGATATTCAGATTAAGCGATCATGATAAAGGGTATCCAATTCTAAAGTTTCAACTTATGGAAGGTTTATGGATTCTCATAATTACAAGAAGTTGTATCCATAAGCTTTTAATTTTTGGGAAATCTTGAAAATGTGCAAACAAATATTTGAAAATCCACGAACTTTTTGTTGTGTTTTATACTGTACAAAGAGAAGATGCACGAACACCATAAAAACCTAGTTCTTAATATTCGTTCATCAACGAACACAAAAGTTAAAAATTAATTCAACTTTCCGCATAGCTGTCAAACTACCCGTCTCGATCTGTAAATCATTTAACACCTGTTTTCATGAAACTTGCAAACTCAAAAGTTAAATAAATTTTCAAAAGCTGGATTGGCATTAAAAGAACTGAAATGTAATTTCAAGCAACCCTTCATGCAAAGATGACAAAGTTTAATTCATAACGGTACCCATGAAAGTTGTTTTTTTTTGATCAAGTATGAATTAGATATCAATGTTTATAGTTTTGAAAAGTTATTATTTTCAATTGTGGGTTATTTACAAAATTCGACTTTAGGAATATATATAGGAATTATGAAAGTTATCCTATTGAAAAACGACAATATCTTTCACATTATTAAACAGATAATGTTTCAAGGGTGCCGTTGTGAATTAGGTATTACCATCTTTAAATGGCGGGTCACAATTAAGAAGAAATTATATTAAAATAAAAATGATTGATTAGGGCTGAAGCAAAACTGTTCGCAGATACACTAAATATGGATTTATTTGAAACATCTGCTAAAGAAAACATCCAGGTTTCCCATATGTTTTCAGCACTTTGTGAAGCACTTTGGATGGACTGGGAGACTAAGTGGGGTACTTCGCATTTGGTAATTCAATATTTATAATTCAGAAAGGTACCCAAATAAAAACAATAGTCTCTAAAACGAAGAATGAAAATGTTTAAAATTATCTAGAGATCTGAGCTGCAGTCTAGTAATGGATAAAAATCACTCGATCAAAATAAAAATAATCAGAATTTTTCTGCAATTATGAATTATGAATTCTGCTGAATTGATTCATATAATTTTTAAATATAAAAGGTTTACACCATTAGGTTACAATGATATAGGGATTAGAAAATTTCGAGTATTTTTGTTCAGCTAAGATACTCTCAACTGCAAAGATTTTTTAGAAATAGAAAATTTAAAACTTTTTATCCCAGAAAGTTGCACGTGAAGACTTCTTTTTTACAATCTAAACCATTTTAATTTAAAATTATTTAATTTGATATTTTTAGCATAGAAATACCGAGAAAACTTTAAGCTTTCGACTGGGAGGACGAGCAGAAGGGGGTCGGGCATATGGAGGTGTAAGGGGTGTGGCACATGGAGGTAGAAGGGGTGTGGTACAACCCCCCGAGCTCAGCTATTTATCCACCAACATGAGCATGTTGGTAATAGAATTACAAAATCTTAATTTTTTTTAGAGAATGGATTTAAGATTAATCTTTTTACCTCCTAATTTTGTTGTGTTTAATAAAACAATTATTTTCACATTGAAAGGAACTGATTAGTGATTACATGCTTTCAAAGTCTAATTTTCTAATTATATCTTTGCTACCTAATTTTGTAAACGTGCAGACCTTCAATATTTTAAAGCTTTAATTTTTTTTGATCAAAATAGTCTTTACATAATATAAAAGGTTCACACCACCAGGTTGCAAAAATATGTTTTGAACATTAGAGTTTGAGGCGAGTATTAATGTTTCCTTTTAACCCGAATTTAAATTTTAAAAAGTTAAAAATTGCAAAACTGAAAATAAGTAGACACAAAAAAATGATGAAACCTATTGAATGGAATAAAAGTAATCTTCAAATGTATGAAGCAAAGTAATTTTTTACACTACAAAAAACTGAAATACAGTAAAAGTAGGAATTTTTAATAAAAACAGTTATTTTAGGGAGTTGAATACGGCTTGGAAGCAAAAGAGGCAAATTCATATTGTTGCTCAATATAGAAATATATAAAAAAAAATCATTTTCGTACTTTTCTCCTCAAAAAGGGACTGTCAACGTAATTTTAAGTGATCATGTATTTAAGTGATCATGTATTTAAGTGATCATGTATTTAAGTGATCATGTATTTAAGTGATTTTAAGTGATCATGTATTTAAGTGATCATGTATTTAAGTGATCATGTATTTAAGTGATCATGTATTTAAGTGATTATGTATTTAAGTGATCATGTATTTAAGTGATCATGTATCTAAAGTAGGGTTTCCACACGGAATTTCGTTGCGCGAAACTATTCTCGCATTGCGCGGAATTGTGCGGAATTGCGAGTAAATCCACTTGTATTGGGAAGAGATGCAGGCATGATGGAAAATACACACTCTTTACTGGACAAAAGGAAGATATTCTTGTTTTTCTCACGGAAAATTTGACTTTTTCTGTTGTGGGTTTTCTAAAAGTGACATTGGAATGGTTGTGTTTAATTAAAGAAAGGAATTGACACTTATACACAAAAATAAATTTTATAATACCTATGTATATTTTTGCAACCTGGTTGCATAAAAAATATTTTCGATTTATATTGCTTGATCTACATAATTAATAGTTTAAAATATAGTTCACGACATTGGGTTGCAAAGATTTATGAATTGAAAGAGCAAAGACTCAAAGACTCAATTCCTTTATGCATTTCAACATTTTGCTCAGAAAAACGACAATATCTTCCTCATTACAGCTCAGAAAAAGGTTTAAGGTTCCGTTGTGAACAGGCATTCAATTTGGTGGTTACTTAAGGGTATATATTCCCTTTTTATCATTTTGATGTGCATATTAAAGAGTAAGGGTCCTCTCAGATAAATATTAAAAATAAATTAATTCTTCACTTAACTAAACAAAATAATTTAAATAAAAAAATAATAAAGTAAATGTTTTAATCTTCTTGTAATGACTAAAATAATAATACAGGAAATAGTTTGCTTTAATTAAAACTTAATGTTTTTCATTCTCCTTATCAGCCAAAAACTTGCTTTTATAAGTAAGAGATAAAAATTAAACACAAATAAAAAATCTGCAATGAAACCCTTTTATTGTGATAAATTGTTTTCTTAAAATGGTCGCAAATTGTGCTCAATAACAACTGTCAAATAAACTGTAAAATAAGTATATGTAATTAGACTATCAAGATGTTTTAACTATTTATGTGAAGTATGAATGCTTGATGCCGACTTTCTAAAAAAATGCGTTTCTAAAAAACCTTCAAAAGGAATTGAGTCTTTGCCACAAACTCTGCTTTTCTAAACCTTATATCTTTGGATTCCAATGTTGTAGACCATAGATATTTCAAACTATGAATTCTGTTAGATCAAATAATATAAGTTTGAAATATCAAAGATTTACGACATTGGGTTCTAAAGATATAGGGATTATAAATTCAGAGTTTGTGGCAAAGACTCAATTTTTACTTCCTCACTGTACAGTGATACAGTGATAGCCAGAAAACAATGGAATAGGAAGTCGAAATTTTAGCAATAATTTAAGTGTATTTGATGTTGTTACAAAGCAAATAGTTTATAGAAAAAACTTTAGTTTCCAGGCATTGATGGATTCCCAAGCTAGCATGTATATAAGACCGTTGTTTGTTTTTATATATTCTGAATGATTATATTTTTATTAAATTGCAGTTGGAAGACGGTCAAATAAAATGGTGGTTGTAAACTTTTTAAAAGTTCATTTCTCTTTGTGTGTACCTTTAACCCAGAGGTGCTTTAAACCTTTAAAATATGATTTTGTACTTTCTTGATTTTTGAAAATTTTAAATTGAAGTAAATGTATAATATTGTCAGTCTTTAGGTAAAATTTATGCGAGCAGGCAATTTTTAGATTTTATTTTGATGTATATTTGATTATTTAGGATCAAGAAAAACAATAGTAAAATGGAAACAATTTGTATCTGGGTTCATACGCAATTAATGCAGAAATATGTTTTTTTATATGATTTTTAACAATGTTTAATATCTTTGCTTTGCTTGCATTTTAACTTTTTTTTAAATTTTCAAATTTTGAATATTCTATAATTTTTTTCTCTATAGTCCTTTCCTCCTAATATTCATGGTCATCGTTATTCTTCTTCTTTTATATCTATTTTTCCTTTATTAATCCTAACTAGCTTTAGTCACTCAGGGCCGTAGTGAATTTTAATTCGAACAGGACCTGCCCAGTTTGTACCGGCCTGCCAGATAACAGCGTGTAATGCCCCGATCCTACAGTACGTCGCCCTAACCAGACTAACATACGAGGGGTCAATTTTCTTGGCATAGTTCCGCCGGAGCTCTAACTATAACAACTCCCATGGCGAGTTCAGACTTTTTACAATACCTGGCAAAATCCTAGGCCTATTTGACTGACCCCACTGGCTCATTACAGGTCTAATATGAGACCATAGGAATAATAATACCCTTTTTAAATGCATAGGATGCATAGATGCATAGTTTATATACATTTTATATATCGTTAACGTCATATATTCATATATACCATGAAGCATAGGATGCATAGATGCATAGACTTATATAAGAAATATATACAAGTTTATATATGGCTGCATAGGATGCATAGGATGCATAGATGCATAGACTTGTATAAGAAATATATACAAGTTTATATACGGCTGCATAGGATGCATAGGATGCATAGA